CTCATGGTGGACGTGCTGGCAAATTGGAAAATGGGGCAGGTTGCTGGGTCTTATAGTCGCCAGGGGCGGGAGGCACACCAGTTCCGACGGGTTGGTAGAGGTGGCATCGTACCAGGTGTGTGCAGATGGTGCACAAGAAGTCGAGAGACCGTCGTTGTCGATCGTAAGGTGGCATGTAATGGGAGACATGCATTCGCCGCGATATCAGAAGTATATTCATGCGGATATACTGGAGCTGTATGTTGTAATTATTGGATGAATATGTGTATTTTCCATTTTTGTGTACATATTATCCAAATTCTCTAGATCATCCGGATAATTCCAGCTAATCCGATGACAACTCGTGTACGCATTGTTCGTGAAGGGTATTTTTTACCCTTTTATGCAATTGTAAGAACCATACCAAATTCTTCATGGCGTTGTTGCCATGTGACAGTCGTCTGCGTGAATTCAGCCAAGCTGATACGAGCGACCCCATTACGGTCGCTCTCCTTAACGGGGTGGCTGGCACCCAAGTAGGGTGGTGTTTCAGGTTTCGTCGTGTTGTGCTTCATCGAAGCAAGGGATCGCCACGTATTTGCCCACGCTTTCGTGCACTTGGCCGCTTGCCTCGACAATCTCGTCTTTCCAGGTCATGTGAGCGAGCCGCTGTCGCATTCGTTGGCGTATGTCGAGGGGACAGAGGGGGGCGCTACCAACAGAAGGCGGACTCTACCCAGCATCTCTAGTTTCAATTGAATGCTCAAATGCGTGCCCAAGCCTTTCCATACGTACGCGTTGGAACAGTTCCATGTCGTGGTTGGTAGACTTGGCGATAGACATCGTCGATTCATGCTGTGGAGAGGCCAACAAAGATGGGTCCAGGCGAATCATCGGCGGCACAGCTACTGCCATCTTTGTACGCCAACAAACTTTACTGCCGCGCACACGATGCCATTCATTCCACCAAATGTCGCAAAGTCTGGTCGCCTTAAGCACGCTCGCAAATTCACGCAGGCGGCAGTCGCAGGACGTTGGAAGCCAAGAGCAATATCAGGTTGAATGAATGCCTCCCACTACGCGCCCATACCGACATACGATCGACAACGATGCTCTCTTGCGCTTCCTCGCATGCACCGTGTTCACCTGGAACGATGCCCCCTCTACCATTTCAATGGGACTCCTTTGTGCCCCCCACTCCACTGAACCGCCCCCCACAGTTCATTCCTCGAATTTGCCTGCACGTCCAACATGAGCACGACCCCCAAGGAAACGACCCCCGTGAGCCCTACCAACAATTACGTGGCCACGGTCGACAAGGCCGCGGACGACCAAGTCCCGGCCGCTGTCCAAATCGACGTCGCGTCCGTCCCGCTCGGCGCCAACGTCGACGCGAATGGCCTCGTCCTGGGCAAGTGGAAGACCGACATCTTTGGGTGCTTCAACGACCTCGTGCCGAACTGCCTCCTCGCGACGTTTTGCCCGTGCGTGTCGCTGGCCCAGACGCTGCATCGCATCGGCATGTACTCGTTCAACACGGTGCTCATGGTGTTTGGCGCCATGTACCTGCTCTACTTGATCTTTTACATCATCCAAATGTCGGCGACGTCGACCGTGTCGCTCAACAGCTTCGGGTACCCCGTCGTGTCTGCGGCGGCCACGTTCTGGTGGTACATTGCGTTGGCCGTGCAGGTGGCGGCGTTCGTGATGTTTATGTTGATTCGCATCCGCGTCCGCAAGGCGTTCCAGATCCCCGGGTCGGAGCTCGAAGACTGCGCGTGCTCGTTCTTTTGCTCGTGCTGCGTGCTGGCTCAGATGGCGTCGCACACGGAATCGTACACGCCCAACCAGTGCTCGTTCTCCCCCAAGGACACTCTGCCTGGCTACGAGTTCTAAGCAGTGTACCTAATGCATATTCTATCGAAGACCATGTAATGGCTCGCATGTGCAGAACAGCCTGAACCCCTGGAAAGGCCAGCACTTATCGCTGATAAGGGACCTTCTTCATTCAGCTTGAATGGCAGAGCAGGTAGTAACGATTGTGGCCATGGAATCCCCGAAGGCTGCTTTGCATCGAACTGGCTGCAGTAGCGGTGTCTGCATCGCGACCGTCTCGCATCACGTCGTTCAACGATGCAGGGTCGCCTTGGCAAGCCAAGAGTTGAAGGCCAGCATCGGCCCATGTCCACAGGGCATGCATGCACTCGCGATGGCCGCTCACCAGGTGCGGACAGGTCAAGTCACGTCGCAGTGTATTTTGCCATGCATGAAGTTTGTAGTATAGCCTTCTCATCGACGCATATCTACTGAAAGTCCTTCGTTCGACAAGCCAACGCATGTGCCCCTCCTACTATCTCCAAATGAAGATCCAGCATCGTGGTTGATTCACTGCGCTTACAGGTCGTTAGCTCGCCGTTCGAGCGGAGGAGTTGGCCGGAAAACCACTGCAAAGTAAAGCGGATCTCGTTCACAACCCTGGCAAATCATACCTTCTCCATGCCGACAAACGAGGATCCACTGCAACTATGATGCGCGTGACCAGACCGGCCAGGGACCCCATCGAGCAGCTTTACGACGGGCCCACGGCCCTCGGACACTGGCAACCGCCGCACGGTGCCTACGACTGAATTGTGGGCGAGAGTGTTGGTCGCCTCGACGAGAATGCACGGAAATGTATTTTTATCACCCGGCATGTTTGAAACACTTCAAGTGTGTTTTAAACAGGGTGGATGCGATTGTCATGTGCGTTGCTCTTTTGATGCTGTGTTCCTTGTGCGCACTCGGCCGCAGCAGTCTTTGGTTCCATTAGCTCCAACAATGTGATGAAAGTATTCTGCAGTGCCCCTGCCCAGGCACATGTCTTGCATGCGTCGTCGACGCAAGCCTCGCTACTTTCAAGAACACCCACAACGATGAAGATTTTGATTAGTAACGCATGTGACTTTTGGCCAATCAACGTGAAATACTTGCCTATTTAGGCCAATCAAACTGATCAAAATGGTATGAAATTCCGATTTTACGTCCAAATTTTCGTGAAAATATCCAAGTTTTTCTTGATTTCGGCCAATTCCGCGGTAACAATGGACACCTCCCGACAACTATCACCTGTCGCATTCGCCAATTGCCATCCACGTCATTTTCAATCTCGGTATCTGCACATGAGCTCGTCATCCCCCACCAACAAGGACCAGCCCCTAGTGAAGGCCGATTGCGCTGCTGACCAAGCTGACGCCGTACCAATGGCGGTCCCGGTGAATCCTGAAGTTTCGATGCAGCCTGGCGTTGACCAGAACGGCTTGGTCGTGGGCCGATGGAAAGCTGATATTTTCGCATGCTGTACAGACTTGGTTCCAAACTGCCTCATGACGTGGTGCTGCCCCTGCATCTCCCTCGCACAAACGTTGCATCGCGTTGGGATGTACACGTTCAACAATGTGCTGCTCGTGTACGGGGCGCTCTACCTCGCGCAAGTTGTGCTGTACATCTTCCAGTCCACCACAAGCGCCACGATGGTGTACTCCTCGTCTGGATGGGTGTACTCTTCGGTATCTCTCGTTTGGTCTTGGTTGTCGCTCGCCATTCAAGTTCTTGCCCTTGTCTTGGTCATGGTCGTGCGCAAGCGTTTCCGCACTGCATTCCAGATCCCCGGGTCGGATATTGAAGACTGCTGCTGCTCGTTCTGGTGCTCGTGCTGCGTCATGGCTCAAATGGCCACCCATGCAGAAGCGTACACGCCCAACGAATGTACGTTCAGCCCCAAGGACACCTTGCCTGGTTATCAATTCTAGATATCTCTCGGCAAGATATGATCTCTTGTCCACAGGAGGGGTTGAGCAATGTTAGCATCAAAATTACCGAACACATACTATAGTGGATTACAATATTTCAGAATTTCACGCCTTTCACACAAAAATATATTTCCTTGTTGCTAGTAGTATGCAGTAACATTTGTATTCTGACTCTTGACAACATGGAAACCATTTTGTTTGAAAGTAGTGAAATTCAGAAATATTGTAGCTAATCCGAAGGTCCAAAGAAAAATTGAAGTCGGAAGTTTTGTGGCACCGGTCCAACTTCGCCCCCACGTCCGATAACAAGCAGCTAACAGTGATTCGTCTATGCAAACCGCGAAGCCCTGGTGATGTGCCCATGTTTTCGTCGATCGAAGTTCGCATGCTGCAACCAACACGCACACCGAGCTTGCCCTCCTACCTCACAAGCGACGGGCTATCTCCAGAGACGTTCTCCTCCAGAGTTCTCGTGCGGTCTAGCACACTGTAGCAGCGGCAGCCAAGACCCAGAACATCCGGCGGATTCATGCTCGAGCTGAACACAGAGCGCGATCTAGTGTTGAACTTGCGATAGCGTAAAACAGAGGATCGATGCAATTTTCTTCTTCAGTACTTGTACCAACAATTGCCTATTATCAGCACGCACACAAAGAATGGGGGCAAGAGATCATACGCACTGAATAAGAAACCTCGCAGCTGGTTGCCATGTTTCAACGATACGATGGGTGAAGTCGTCGAGTAGTAGCGGCGGACGCTGCATCGTATAGGCCGTGGTCCCATCACCAGGACCCTGCACTCTCACTGGTTCCACCAGCTCAAGTGGCTGCCCATTCCCTCTTTGGCTCTGGTCATTCTTGCCTCTTTCCACGACAAGTACCTTGACGTTCCGATGTTGTTGGAGGAGGTGGAAATGGCAGCTTTTTGACCAATGAAACGCATGGAATTAACGTTTGTGCCACGAATAAGCCAATCCAGTCGGAGATATCATATCCGTTGCCAAGAGGCACAGTCCATGCTCAATGGGAAAATCCCCCGGCATGTCTCACCATGTCGGCGCCAATTGGGTTCGGTTTGGTTTTCTGGGATGACGCCATCATTCCTTCCATGTTTCTATACAAATATAGTAATTATACATACACTCCCATTGAGTCCCAACGATCCCAGCGTTTTCATCCCAAGAGTATCTCAAACTGGCACCCGTGCCATGTCGCAGCGCCATAACGGCAACATCGAACACAATCGCGCCGTGACCTCCAGCGCAGTTTTTCCCCTCAAGCCCGAACAACATGCTGCTTCATGAGTTTCGCATTCCTTTGCACATGAAGGTCGAAGAGTTTCAGATTGCCGAGCTGTACATGACACTGGCAGACAACGTCCGAGTTCTGAAGAACGAGCCGTACGACAACCGCGATGGCCACCTCGGCTTGACGTCGACTGTGTCGGGGCAACCAATTCCGCGAACTCACGGCCAGTGTACTGTGAAGTGCTACACGTTTGAGGACGTTCCCGCGATGCTTTCAGCGTTGCTTCCCCACGGGCACACGACGTTGGTCGAGGAGACTTGGAATTCGTACCCCACGAGCACGTCGTACTTGACCAGTGCATCCTCGCTCATTTCCAACTCCAAGTTTGTTGTGACGTGCGAATCCGTGCATCTTCCTGGTTACTGCGAGCACGAGAACGCCCTTGGTCTGTCTAAGGAAGATCTCCACCGTCGAACGGTGCAAGTGCTGCATATTCACCGGCCACTACATCCAACTCAAACCCTCAACAGTCCATGGGACCCCAGCACGTACACATGCACCAAGAGCGGGCGCGGGCCGCTCACGGACGGCTGGGAACTCCGGCAGTCGCCCGCCATGACCGTGTATAAAGTGATGCGTATTCAGTTCGACTACGTTGGCGTGCGCCACAAGATGGAGCGTGTGATCTGCGACCACCTCGAGGCCGTGCTTCATCGATCGATGCGGCGGCTTCAGTGCATGTCGCATCGTTGGTACAACCTGTCGATGGCAGACATTCGCATTCTCGAAGCTGTATTCGAGTTCAAGCGCTCCAGGCCATGAAGTTCCCTTGTCCATGTCAATTAGTCCCGTAAAACGAATTTGGTGTGCTTTGAGCGTTTGTAGGCCCGTAGCCGGCCAGCGCATACCCTTGCACGCGGTCGAGTCACATGCAGCGTCGTGTACGTAAAGGGTGTTGGCCATCACTGGCAGCTATATCACACACACACGCACGATGAAAGCCCCTCGTCGAACGTCGGCCTCTCCTCATCACGACAGTGGCCTGTACGGTGAACCCGTCAACAAAGCTGACACCCCCATAAATGCAGACCACCTCTATAACATGATATGTTTATGAAATTCCAACACCTGTATACTTCAATATCTCCTCAGAAATGTCTTTCTCTTTTACCAATTCAGATACAAAAGCAAGGGTGATTCTGACAAAAATTCTCATTATTATAGCCAATGAAATTGGCGTATTTTAATGAATTGGATTCTATTCGGCCTGCACGCATTTCAGGATGAAAGCATCTCGGCATTTTCTGGGGTTTACTGAACTGCATCGCCATGACGGGCATTTTGCTGTTGGAGAAGCCATTGCTGCTATCTATCGACGTGCATGACGCAGGCGTAAGGACCTACTCGGTTGTGTCGGTGTTGGTCGAGAGAAAACCCGCTCCCCTCCAAGCAACCTGAAGTGGCCTGGTCCTGACACTGCTGCCAGGCCCAAGGCGACAGATTGTCGTTGGCTGTCCCGTGGAGAGGATGTCTCGCGGGGGGGTCATGTGCGAAAGGGGATGAAGCATGTGAATCCTTAGCCATGTCCGCCGATGCAGCAATGAGAAATGCGCGTGTGCTGCACCGGATTCGAGTGCATGGCGATTTTCGCTGGACCTTACCCGAGCCAGAAATGCGCCTATCTGTGGGAGTCGCGTCGGAGGGGCCGAGCCACCTTTCCGTTTGCTCTCCGTGGCTCATTCCTCGCGTCCGGTCGCGGCAGCTCGTTATGCGTTGTGTACGCTCGTGGAGGATGGTCATGGAAAACATCGCGATCCGCCGAGATCCGTCGTGCACACGATTCCCATGCCATCTTCACGAATCCAAAACACACAGATCAAAGGAGAGTAAATACACATATCTACTACACGCGATAGCCAGGCAAAGTTTCTTTGGGACCGAATCGACACTCGCCCGAGTCGTACGAGTGCACTTGGGTCGCCATTTGGGCGACCACGCAGCACTGGCAGCACAGCGCGCACCAAAAGTCCTCGCAAATCGATGCGTCTCGAATGTGGTGGAAGTTGCGCACGGTCGCTCGCGCACTCATCACGAGAATCACGTTCGTTAGCCCGAGCAGGATGAACACAAACGCCCACGAGTCGGCAGGGCCCCACGAGCCGTCGTCGGCATTCGGTCGAGTCAATTGAATGAAGTCCGAGATGGCCATCAACGTGTAAAGAACACCAAATGTCCCGAGCACGGCCCAGTACGAGTACGCACCGATGCGGTGCAGCGTTTGGGCCAGAGATACACACGGGCACAGAAACGACATGGCGCAGTTGGGCCACCAGTCCGCGAAGCATGCAAAAATGTCTGCCTTCCATTGACCTTCGAGGGCTATCGGCACACCGTTCGGCGCGCCGACGAGGGGCTCGGTCGTGCCGTAGGCAGGGGCTGGTTGTTGGGTCGACATTGAGAGAATGGGGTGGTCACCAGTGCGTGGCCAGGCACGTTGATAAAGACATGCAATGGCTGAGGCAGTCTCCACTGGCTTTCACAAAAAGTGCCGAAAAATGAACGGGACTTGTGATCCAGTGGCCTGAGCTACGACACCTTTAGTGAATCGGAAACGAGCGACACACTCGTGCCATGTTGGTTCTTTTCCGCTCGCTGCTTCCAGGCACAGCGTGCGCGCCGGCTGCGCATCGTTTCCGCTGCCTGCGCGTTACGCCAGCCTATGCTGTGGGTGCTACACTGAATTGCATACCTCGAGGCAATGCTGAAGTGAGCCAAAACGTTGCTGGGAATCAAACAGCACTGACACTCAGAACTTGTGTTCCTGCGACGCGCTTTGGCCGCGCGGCCCAGCCGTTCGTGCGGTACATTGTGGTCTGGACAGTGTGATTCGTTCTTGTCCTGGTGCAAGTCGCCACGATAAATGGATTTCAACGCGATGGAGGACGCGCGAACGACTCGAACGCCCCACGAGACTGGTGTTTGTGCACACACACGGCAGTCGGGTCCACGACTCGGCCCCATGCCGCTTCCCCATCGGTCGGCCGATGTAAAAACGAAGGCTCGTTGCGACCTCCGGTCGAAACCAGTCTGTTGTCTGGATGTTGGCATCTATACAAACATAAGGTGGACAGGTCGACGTGGCTGGCGTCGGCAGCCACTGACATGAACGCGGCAATGGGCCCAAGAACGAACGGGGCGTGCCTGGCCTGCATATTTAAGTGGTAAAGCTGCGTGTCGGCTAGTGGCTACATCATCAATCTGCCCACGATGGCTGCACCAAGGCGCCATGCTCACGTGGCCATGGACGAACCACCACAAGGCAGGATGGTCCACGGGCAAGAATCGCCCTATGCGGTCTCAGCAACAGCAGGCACAAACGTCGGCATCACCGACTTGGATGCGACACAACGATAGCACACCACGTCGTGAAGCCAATGTAAACTGTAGTCGACTCGTCCTGGCTCGATGAAAGCATGAGGAGGTTCCATTGTCCAGCTCTAATTGGCACCTCAGCCCAACAATTGTAACCAACGCGCTCGGCGCGCCCATGCGGTATCGCTCTGAGTTGCGCCCCAATGGGTAATGTCCCAACCACCGCCTGTTCGTTCATGAGGAACGATTCCGGGGCCGCGCTCTTGGCCACGAGGTTGCAGACGGTCAAAACTGTGTAAAGCAAGGTGACGCGAGAGCTAGAGCGTTGGGGGACGACGACCCTATGCTTGGTATGCACCGCACGCATGGCATGCCTCTCGGGGGCATGGGCGAACGAGAAAGGGGGGGGGTGCTTCCTCTTCACATGGCGGCCCCCCGTCCCTGCAACCCCAGCAATGGCATCGTAGCGACCGGGCGATTTCCCCCGATCGTCCTGTCCTGACTCGCAGTTGCACTTTGAAGTGGGATGCAAAGTCGAGCAATTCCTCTAAACAACATGTCGTCGAACAATGGAGTGTCGCACCAAACTATCGACGGACGATTTCATACCAACCTGGCTGGGGTTTCGCGAGGAGCGCGGCCTCCACGAGACACCGACAAACGCAAAGAATCGAGTAGAGTCGCATCGAGTCGCGAGGCGGCGGCTCCCTCGAGATGGGGCGGCTCTGTTTACAGACCTCGGCTAAGCGAATTCCTCGCCACCACATGAATCGCACCACGTGTGAAGTAGCTGCCGCACCCGCCGAGTTATCAGACACAGACAGCAAGCCAGGCCGCAGCGCACATTTCCCGATTTGCGCACAGGAGCCGACCGCGATGTTCAAGTTTGCCTCGGGGTCCAAGAAGTCGCCGTCCATGAACCGGTCGCTCAACCTGCCGTCGACGCCGCACCTCCCGGACGAGGACGAGACGATGCCGACGCCCACGTACGAACAGCCCGGCGACCGGTCGATCAAGCACTACAAGAAGGTCGTGCTGGCGATCGCGTCCCTCGCCGTCGTCGGGACAGTGGCCGCCCTGGCTCTGTACAACCCGAACGCGTCCACGACAAACGCGTCGGTAGGTGCGTCGGTGGTTGAATCGAGCCCTGCCCAACTCCCTCCTCCACGCGCTGCTCATGTGCCCAGCATCCACGGAGAAGAAGATGCCGTTGACAACCTCAAGGTGCTTCAACTCGGACTCGAACTCATGAAGGCCAAGCACAACGCCATGACCACGGGCGAACTCGACAAGGAAAAGCAACTCCAGCTGCTCAAGCTTAAGGCGGCCAAAAGCCACGGGTCGTCCAACCTTCATCACAAGGAACTGCCATTTCCCAAGGCGAAAGCGGACAACGTCCTGGTGGCCCAGGTGCAGGGCGATGAAGACGAGGCAGCGCGTCGCCAAGCCCTCACAGAGCTTCTCACGTCGCTGGCCGCCAACGGCCAAGCGGATGCAATCAAGGTGCCGTACATTATTGATTAACCCGCGTCGGGAGCTGCGTGTTAATTGAATGTTTCCATGTGTGGTCGGCGTACACACTCGACTTCTTCGACGTTGCCCTTTCCATCGTCGTCGCATGCAACCACATGAGCCATGTTGAGGCTAGAGCAAGCCTTGGAGCCCACTGCATAACCTGAGTGGTATCGAACGCCATGGCGATGATGCTTGCGCTTCGGTTCGCATGCGACCGCGGTCAGGTTGGCTCTCTCGCCAGTGCAATCAAGCGCCAACAGCCCGACGACTCGAGTCACGGCCGTGCATGGTCTGGCCTGTCGTCGACACGCGTCGAAGGGCCA